TGGAATGGTAATGCAAAAAAAAAAAAAAAAATACCATGAAGGTTTTAGAAAAAATCAATGTGTGCAAAGTTAATTTTACATCAAGATGCAGAACCCAAAAAAAATTACACAGTTGAGAATAGCAAAATTGTTAAGGAGAATAAATATATGAAAGACTTGAGAACATTCAACTGATATAAATGTTTCCATATCAATGTAGTAACACACATATATCATTTTAACAAAAATTCAAATTTCACAGTCATAACAAAACTTTTTAAGTAGAAATCGACATTTCAAGCTCGCCACGAATAAAATTGAAGCGATCCTCGCTTAGGGGTTTTGTGAAAATATCCGCCAATTGCTTGTCGGTGTTTATAAATTCAAGTACAATATCCCATTTTTGAACATGATCTCTTAAAAACCGATGTCGAATTTCAATATGTTTTGTTCGTGAGTGTTGAACTGGATTTTTGCTTAAATTGATGGTACTAGTATTATCGCATTTAATAGGGATATGATCATAATACAAATCAAAATCTTCTAATTGTTGTTTCATTCAAAGTATTTGGGTAAAACAACTTCCAAAAGCTATATATTCAGCTTCGGCCATTGATAAAACAATAAAATTTTGCTTTTTGTTAAACCAAGATACTAATGAGTTACCAAGAAAGTGACAAGTGTCGCTGGTGCTTTTTCTATCAAGTTTGCATCCGGCAAAGTTGGCATCCAAGTAACTAATTAAATCAAATGCAGCATCTCTAGGATAAAACAGTTCCAAATTTTGAGTGCCAACAAGATATCTAAAAATTATTTTAACAGCACTGAGATGCGATTCCTTAGGATTTGATTGATATCTAGCATACATACAAACACTAAACATAATATCGGGTTTACTTGCAGTTAAATAAAGAAGTGAGCCGATCATATCTCGATATTTTGTTTGATCAATGGACTTACCTTTGTCATCCTTGTCTAGCTTAATGGATGTGCTCATAGGTGTTCCAGCTATTTTTGAGTCATACATACCAAACTTTTTGAGTAGTTCTTTTGTGTACTTAGTTTGGTTGATAAAAATTTCTTCCTTACATTGTTTGATTTGAAGCCCAAGGAAATAATTTAGCTCCCCCATCATGCTGATCTCAAACTCACCTTGCATATACTTAGCAAATTCCTTACACTAGGTTTCATTAGTAGCACCAAATATAATGTCATCCATATATATTTGCACAATAAGTAAATCATCATTTTTAGTTTTAACAAAAAGTGTTGTGTCAATCGTTCCTGTAGAAAAATTATTTTCAATCAAAAATTTACTTAATCGTTCATACTATGCACGAGGTGTTTATTTCAAACCATAAAAAGCTTTTGATAGTTTAAAAACATGATTTGGAAAAGTATGATCTTCAAAACCTGGGGGTTGTTTAACACAGCCTTCCTCATTTATAAAACCATTAAGAAATGCACTTTTTACATCCATTTGATAAAGTTTGAAATCTCTAAAACATGCAAATGCAAGTAACATGCGAATGGCTTCTAATCTAGCAACCGGAGCAAAGGTTTCATCGAAATCAATACCTTCTTCTTGATTGTATCCTTGTGCAACAAGTCTAGCCTTGTTCTTATAATTGTGCCGGATTTATCAAGTTTATTTCGAAAGATCCATTTGGTACCGATAATGGTATGATCTTTAGGTTTTGGCACAAGTTCTCACACTTTGTTTCTCTCAAATTGGTTAAGCTCTTCATGCATAGCTATCATCCAATGTTCATCGAATTCGGCTTCTTGAAAGTTTTTAGGCTCAATCTGTGAGAGAAAAGCCAAGTTACTACAAATGTTTCTAAATGAAGAGCGAGTTTCAATACCTTTTGTAGGGTCACCTAGGATTAAATTCTTAGGGTGATTATGAACAAACTTCCATTCTCTTGGCAAATCATCATTGTTTCCTCATTCTTCTTGAGGTGGGAGAATAGGTTATTCAATCTCTTTGTTCAACTTACATAGTTGGTTCTCTTCTTTGTAGATATTTGAATCTCCACATTTAGTTCCAAACCTATATTATCACTAACAATTTGCTTTTGAGTAAAGATGTTAGTTTCATCAAATGCCACATGTATAGATTCTTCCACAACAAGAGTTTTTTTTATTAAAAACACGATAAACTTTGCTAGTTAAGAGCCAAAAAAAATTGCTTCATCAGATTTTGAATCAAATTTACCTAAGTTATCCTTACCATTATTATGTACAAAACATTTACAACAAAAAACATGCAAGTGACTAATGTTGGGCTTTCTATTATGCCAAAGTTCATAAGGAGTCTTTTTGATAATAAGTCTAATTAATGTACGATTTAAAATATAGCATGCGATGTGAACGGCTTCGGCCAAAAAATATTTAGGAAGATTATTTTTGCAAAGTATTGTTTTACTCATATCTTCTAAAGTTCTATTCTTACTTCTACTACACCATTTTGTTGAGGGGTTTTAGGTGCTGAAAAATTATGTCTAATACCATGCTCATCACAAAACAATTCAAATTTCTTATTTTCAAGTTCTCTATCATGGTCGGTTCGAATATTAGTAATAAGAAAGCCTTTTTCATTTTGAATTCTACGACAGAGTTTTGTGAAAGAAAAAAAGGTTTCATCTTTGTATGCTAAAAACATAACCTATGTAAATCTTGAATAATCATCAACAATAATAAGACAATAACGTTTACCACCTAAACTAGATGTCCTTGAGGGACCAAATAAATCCATATGTAATAATTGTAAAGGTCTAGTTCTGGAAATATGAGATTTTGATTTAAATGATATTTTAGTTTGTTTTCTTTGTTGACAAGCACTACAAAGATGATCCTTTTCAAATTTAATTTTTAGAATTCCAATGACCAAATTCTTTCTCAAAAGTTTAGCAATTAAATCCATATGAGCATGACCAAGTCTTCTATGCCATAACCAACTATTTTTATTATTAATATATAAACATTTAACATCATTAGCATAGAGATCATTAAGATGAAAAACATAAACATTATCATGGCGAAACCAACGAATAAAGCTTTATGATCATTTGTGTTTTCAATTGTGCAATATGATTTATCAAAAATAACTCGATTACCTTTATCACATAATTGACTAATACTAAGTAGGTTATGCTTAAGTATATCAACAAGTAAAACATTTTCAATAGAAGGGTTAGGAGAAATATCGATGCTACCAATACAGATGATTTTTCCTTTCTTGGTGTCTCCAAAAGTAATAAATCCTCCATCTTTCAATGATAATTTAGTAAAGAATGATTTATCTCCGGTCATGTGTCTAGAACATCCAATATCAAGGTACCACTTCCCTTCTTTGACTTTGGACTTAAAACAAACCTCATCTTGAGTAGAGTTTTCATCTTCAAGAGCCATGAGATATAAATTGGCTACTTCATTTTCAATTTCATCACTTGAGCTTTCATCTTCACTTTCTCCCCAAGCTGCTACCATGGCCTTTTTGTTTCTTTTGTAGTCTTTTCCATGATTCTTCAATTTTGGACAATCCATCTTCATATGTCCAGGATTTTTGCACTCATAGCAAATTATAGGCTCTTTCTTGTTATACTTGTTGTACTATTTCTTGAAAGGTCTTCTTCCTCCATAATTATTTTTCTTGAAGTGCTTTTTGAGATTTCTACTAAACATGGCATAACTTTTATCCTTACTGGAGTTTTCATGTTCTTCTTAATTTGATGAGGCTTTGAATGCAATTCCACTTTTGTTTTCAACATCCTCATGTCCTTTCATGGTGATCTCATGAGTCATAAGGGAACCCATGAGTTCATCCAATTCAAGTGTGGAGAGATTTTTGACTTCTATAATGACCGTGATCTTTGTTTCCTAATTCTTTGGTAAACACCTAAGAATTTTTCTTACCAACCCACTGTTAGTATAAGTTTTGCCAAGAGATTTCAAAGAGTTTACAATTTCAGTAAATCTAATAAACATACTTGAAATAGATTCATCAGAGTTCATTTTAAACAATTCATAACTATGAACAAACATATTAATACGAGATTCATTTACTTGATTTGTACCTTCATAAGTTACTTCAAGTTTGTCTCAAATTTCTTTTGTCGAATCACAACTTGAAATTCTATTATACTCCTTAGAGTCTAATCCACAAACAATGGTGAGTTTGGCTTTAGCATTGGTTTACAATAATCTGTGATCTCTCTCATCACATTCATCTTTAGTTTTAGGTACACTAATATTGTCTACTAATTTGGTAAGAATTTTTGGACCTTTGGTGACATTAATCCACACAGCATAATCAGTGGCTTGTAGGTATAGGGTCATCTTATCTTTCCAATGGCTATAGTTGTTTCTGTCAAATAATGGTGGTCTATTGGTGGCTTGTCCTTCAGTAGTGCTAGTGCTAGTGCTAGTGCTAGCTAAGGTTGCCATGGATCAAAACTTTTAGATGGTTAAATCTAAAGTAAGAGTTTAGGCTCTGATACCAATTGTTACCCAAAAAACAATCTAAGAAGGGGGGTGAATTAGGTTTTTATAATTAATGTTAGAATTTACCATCACCTACCACCACTACCACCTCACCTACTCCACTAAACCTAACCCACTACACCACTACCACCTCCACTTCACCTACTCTCCACCTACTCCCAAACACACTCCTATATAATAGGAATCCTTGTAATTGTAATAAACACAACAACATAATATCAATCAATATATATCAATCAATAATACATCAGTTTTTCTTACATGGTATCAGAGCGGGTTTAGAATCTAGTATTTTCACTTCCCGGCGGGCGGCAACCTCACCTTAGCCGCCCGCCGGGCCTCAACCTAATCCGCTAGAATTTTCTACACCATTCTTCTCTTCAAATGGATCCGATCTGGGTTCGCCAACTGACGGCGCCGTTGTGTGTTTCCGGTCTCGCAACCTCCCTCGGAGGTGGAAGCAAATCAAAGCACCCGAATTCACCACACCCTCAGCCGTCGAACCCTTTCCCTTCTCATCTTGCTCGCCACTACCGCCACTCCCCACATGACTCTGCTGTAAACACATTACAGTGACCAGTCTCCAATCCAAACTCAGATTTTTGGTGATCTTTGTACCAAGGCGATCCATCATCAGATGCGCTCTCCGGTGGACCATTCTGGAGAACCGCTGATCCCGATCCATCAGAAAAATTTGGTGTCTTCTCTGGATTCTCATCAGATGAGCAGCTCTGAGAGATTTGCTGTTCTGTTAGAATGGGCTGGCCAAATAGCAAGAACATAGGTGTCTTTGTTTCGTTATCTTTCTTTGAATTTTGGGTAGAAATTCCCATGGTGAGCCAGCAAGATAAATTCTTGTTGTCCTTTGGATTGTCCGTAAGGTTGCCAATGGGAACTCTAGGTGGTTGGACAGCATAATCAAGTCGCTGCGATCCAAGGGGAAACAGACCCGAGTGAAGTTTGTTGAAGTGGAGATCTGCGGAAGATAGTCCAAAGTGAGCATGCCTGGCTCCCTGTATGCCTGCAGGAATGTTGTCGGATATACAACACAAGGGGCTGCTGGGCCTGAGGGGGTTGCTGGGAAATGATGGCATTGGAAGTTGACCAATGAAAGGGAAATCGGGGGGTTGCGGAACCCGCAACTTCTTTCTTGGTGGAGTGAAAGGAGAGAAATGGATGGCAGGCATGTTTGATACCAACTCAACCAACCATGGACTGACTCGGGTCACGTTCTGAAGCAAATCTGGCTCATCCCATGCCACCTGCGAGATAATTTTTAGCCAAGAAGAATTAGAACCAGCAACTAATTAAAGTGGCATACTCCAAGCAATTCCCAATCTCACGTTTGAAATACAACCAAAAATTACCACCACCAAAAAAAAGAGCAATTCCATTAGTTTCAATAAATTTTCCCCTTCAAATGAACTTAAACTGATTATTACTGGCAGACAAATTCTCAGCTTGTATTTGTCAGTGTCCACTACATGGTTCTTGGGTTTATGCATTGCATGCTCATCATGTAAAACGGGCTCGAAAATTTTCAGAAGTTTACTACTTTATCCTACCTTCTATCTGGGAAAAAGTATTTTAACACAAAAGGGCTATTAAATTGTTTTTTTTTAATTTTTGTAAAGTAGCCAAAACAATTATTTTTATTGTGAACACACATGAAAACTATGCTTTCTTTGTTTGCTCTAACTTCTAAGTTGTCAGTTGCAGTGGGTGCTAATAACTGATCTCAAAACAATCAAACATTGAAGAGAGGGAGCAGGAAAGGAAAGGAAAATAGCAAATAACTAATTATCTTGAACATATGAAAACCATCATGTTTAAATGTCAATCTATAATTTTACAAGATGTTGAAAACACGGGGAAAAGGATAAGAAGTCAATGTTAGACAATCCAAGATATAAGGGAAAAAAAAAAATCTGTATCAAGTCAAAGGCCAGGATTCTCTCATGCCAGTTCAGGAAATGTAAGTTGCCGTTTTGTCTAGATATGTATTTGAAATCATCAACATGGATTTCTTTCTCAACAAGTTCGCTATCACTCTGAAGCCATAGAAAACAGAGGATGGAGACAAAGAGAGCAGGCAAACCAGGACAGAAGTTGGGAAAACAAATTCAAACTAGATTGCCCTTTTAGAACTACTATCACTCTTTAGGAATTTGCTATCCCCCATCAAGCATTTAGATGTAAGTGATACAAATACAATGACACAATTCCAGTGTCTGTCATTCCACCCTTAACATTAATGGTCAAACTGTGCAACATGAGATCTTGATTTAGAAGGAATTGTGACCTCCATTACCACAATACCATAACTCCTAAGATTTAACTTTATCAGTATTAGATAGAGTTCTAGCAAGCAACCACTGCGACTGTACCGCATCACATACATGCAGCATATGCCATTCATGGAAGAAAAACTGATTATTAAACTCAACAAGCAGATTAACATTACCACGAGTAAATTCTTCCCATAGTTGCACACAAGAAGATAAACTTACTACAAAAACAAGTGCCATGTTTAAACTAGTTCAAGGAAAAATACTAGGTTCCACAACAATAACAACACATCAACAAAATGAAACATAAATCAGCATTTAAAAATTAACATTTTACAGAGCAAATTGGGATGTGAGTTACCTGGAGAAGCCGCCATGGAGAATTAGGCCACCGGATCGGGTCATCAACTTGAACAGAAGATATAGTCCCCATGAACCAGCTTATACGAGATGAATCTTCTGTTTCAAAAGCCATTTTAAATCTCATCCCGGGGCACCATTGAATTCTCATTGCAGTCCTCACAGATTTAAGGTAGCGTTTGGTTAGGTTGATGAATATTGAATTGTAATATTGTTGAGAATTGAGAAATCTTTTATTTTTATGTATTTTCTTGTTTTGTTCCTCTCTTCAAACTCAAGTTGGTTAGTTTCTATCCTCCTTGAGTTTGCGGGGGGCTGTTAGAATTTACCATCACCTACCACCACTACCACCTCACCTACTCCACTAAACCTAACCCACTATCACCATCCACTACACACCATCCACTACACCTACATCTATATAAGGAACCATTTGTAATAGACAGAAAATAACATAATGTCAATCAATATATATCAATCAATAATACATCAGTTTTTCTTACAATTAAAATTAATAATACCCTAATAAAAATTATGACTAGCACAATAAATAAATAAAATTAATGAAATAAAAATAATTAAAACAAGTGTCTTAACAACTATGTTAGTTAATGATTTTAGCACAGTAAAAATGTGAAATATAGTTATGGCAATTTAAAATAAAATAAAGAGATAAGAGAGAGAGAGAGAGAGGCAAACAAATTTACAGTGGTTCGATTTCAACTCGGCGAACGTCCACTCCTCAAGCGTCGCTTGAGATTTGCCACTATACTCTAGCTTCACAAGGTGCTAGCAACCTTTTCACAGATAAAGTAATCCTCCACAGATTTTACACTGACTTTCTAAGTCAAGAATACTGAGTATACTACACTCTTACAAGGTTAAAAAGAAGGTGTTTTTACTTTCACAGAAAGTTACAAGAATTATCTCCCAAAGATAGATATAAAAATGAAGCTCTGGTTTTTCTGTAAACCTCACACGGGAAAGATGAGCTTAAAACTATAAGGCTCAGTGTATAATTTCTGAGAATAGATGTGAGTGATTATAGATCAAAGAATATTTTCAGGTTTTTGTAACTTGTTTACATTAGAGGTTTTGGTACATATAATGAAAATTATAGCCGTTTATAACCGTTGTATTCATTTGAATTTATAGCCGTTTATAACCGTTGTAGTCATTTGAATTTATAGTCGTTTATAGCCGTTATACTTCCATTATTACTAATTTGAATATCTTCTACTCAATCATTACACATTTGAATATCTTCCACTTGAACCTTTTGGCCTTTTGAATTTTTATAGTCGTTTATAGCCGTTGTACTTCCATCATTACTAATTTGAATATCTTCCGCCTGAACCTTTTGGCCTGCTACTGTGTTAAACTGTTTGAACCTTTGTTTTGGACTGTTTGAACTTCAGATTTAATCAAATGTTAAATACATTCTAACAACATTTAAGATAAAGGTTTAGGTGAAAAATAATGGGACAAAATAAATTTTGATTCTATTTTTCTCTTGCAAATAAATCATCAAAATAAATTTTGGATTTAAAACATAATTAAATAAATCATCAAAATAAATTTTGGATTTTATTTTTCTCTTTCAAATAAATTAAAACATAATTAAATAAATTATCAAAATAAATAAGACTAACAAAAAGGTAATAACTCTTAATAAGAAAATAGAGAAAATTACATTATAAAAAAAGAAAAGAAAAGGAAAAAAAAAAAAAAAAAAAAAGTAAAGTAAGAAAGAAGAGAGTGTATGAGTTCAATATCTTTATTTCGTCTAAATAATTACAATAACAGGGAATTAGTGTAATTTTTCAAATGTTAAAGGATAATATGTTTCAAATCCAAACCTCAAGAGGTGTAAGTGTAATTCACCCCCAAAAAATTGTAAATCAATGATAAAATTTAGAAATACTTGCATCTAGGTCCGGAGAAATAGTGTAATTTACCCAAAACAAATTGTAAATCAATGTCAAAATTTGGAATACTTACGTGTAGATTCTAATAAGTGTTATGATAATTAATAACATTTTTTTATAAAATACAATTAAAAAAAAGTCACTAATTGTTAATTTGGAGCGATAGTTAAAAATTATCAAAAAAAAATATCACTAATTATAAGTTTTAGCGATAATTTAAAAAATCATCACAACAAAATGTTACTAATTTTTAATTTTTAGCGACAATTCAAAAAATTAGTCATAAAAAAATATCAATAATTGTAAATTTTAGTAACAATTTTAAAAAATCAAGATAAAAAAAAAGTAACTAATTGTCAATTTTTACTGACATGTGCAAAAATTGATCATAAAAAATTATTTTTAACGATAATTTTACTATGACTAACTGTCAATAGAAATTAATAAGAATTACGTTTAACTATTAAGATTTTTTAATAATTTACTCTAAAATTTATACACTCATAATTAAGGAAAAATTACATACAGGTGAGAGAAAGGAAAAAAATTATTAACACATGAAAAATGTACGTGTTTATGATAAGTTGCAAATGAAATAAATACTAAGGGTGCAAATATCACTAATACCCGTACCGTCTCATATGTAAGTAATATTTTTCCCTTTTTTTCTCACCTACTCTTTTTATTTTTTTTTCACCTACATATAGCTCCCCGAACAATTAAAATATTACACTTCTTCATAATTTTATAAATCTTTTTTACTGTACCACTCTGCTATTATTTTTCCATTTTTATATAGGTGCACTTTAGGTTTTCCTATGGAAAATATTATAAATAACACCAAAAATGAAATTTTAAATTTTTTGCCTAACAACACTTGTTTAAATTATATTAATAATTACTGTTGAATAATTTTTGTTAGTATTTGCAATTAATTAAAATTGTAAACTACACTAACACTACAAAATAAATAAATAAAAATCCATGTATCGATAATGTGTATATATAATTTATTTCTTTTTAGTTGAATAATAATTGTATTTTTTTATGTGAAAAATGTAAGGAGAAAAGAAAAGAGCGAGAGACAAGAATAAAAACAAACTATTTTAGTAATTTTTGACTTTTTATAAAAAAATATGTAAAAAAATATAAAGAATGATTTAATAACTTATAGTAACTTTTTGACTTTTTAACTAAAACTGAATGTTGCCAAACGAAACCTAAAAACACTTTCTAAATCATTCATTACAAGGGAAAACCTAAAAACTCCCTTAGCATATGAAAATCATCTGTTTAAGATAAGAATAAAATCACTTCAAATCATTCATTGAAGAAAGTAAAGGAATGGCTACACAAAGAAAAGCCATTCATCAAACTATTCAAAGAAAAAAAAAAAAAAAAAAAAAATAGACGAAGAAGATACTTTTCTTGCTTTAATCTAAATAGAGAATGTACAACTGAGTTGCATTCATGCCCATGCTAATAGAAAATCAACTAAATAATGTACAAACAAACATGCCCTCACCTCCCCCATCAAAGGAGGAAGCAAACAAACTAAGATAAACAAAACACATTACATCACAGAGCTCGTGTGCTAAAAGCTTTCCATCAGCTCTCTCTCACCTCATGAACAGGCAGCAGGGGCCATATTTAACTAAATCCCGGCATAAATTTGCTCGGGCACTGAGACCACTGACCCATCTCCTCTAGACCCTAAAACCTTGTGAACACTTGAACCATTCATCGGAGATGCAATCAACCTTTAATGTATGAAAAATAATTACACAAACAAACAAAAAAACTACACCTGAACTCTACTCAAACAAGGGCTATCCGGCTTCAAATGTCAAAGCCGGTTAAGCAAGTCTTTTTTCAAGAATACTATCTATTTGAATATGATAATAGAGCAAGGACCTCACCGTCCTCAAAATTTGACTCCACTGCAAGCTCAAAAGGATTTTTACCTTCCCCGTTGACAGCCCGTGGATCTGCTCCCCTGCAGTAGAATACAAAAAAGCCCTTTAATCAAACTAGACTTTGGATATGCCAATAGTAAGTTTTAAATAGAGGCAAACATAATAAAAAGGAGAATCCATGTGGAGGTCATGCAAGGGTCAAAAGGACAAAAAAATAGAGAAATTCGGCAGAGTGCTCAATAAACCTCCATAATATCTAACAAGTGTTATGTCGGTCATATAGCACACCAATACATAGAAAAAGGGCTGACCATTCCAACTCCACAAGTATAAAGTCCCAACGCTGGAAAAGTAGTTGGGAGAATTATGATGTGCTAATGCTCAGAATGCCCATTTTCAAAACTCAAAAAAATAAAATAAAAAGAGGGGATAATCTTTTGATTGAGGATTCCAGTCACTTAGAAAGAGCCGCTAAATGATCGGACCAGATGAGGAAGTATTCATAGCATCAATCATTCTCAGTTTCTCCCAAGATGAACTGTAAAAGTACAGTTAACTTCCTTAGAGAAACAAAATTGCTAAAAGTTGCTGCTTGAAAAGAAGAAGATGATACATCAACAATTGACTAGTCATTCAAGACTACACCTAAATAAATGATATAATATCAGATACAAGAGAAGAAGCCACACTAATCATGAATGATGATACATCAACAATGGGCAAGTCAATCAAGACTACACCTAAATAAATAATATCATATCAGATACAAGAGAAGAAGCCACACTAATCATGAATGTATCAGTCCATAATATTGATTTCAAAATGATGGTTTTCATTTTTCATCATTTCACACTGTTTGCTATTTACAAATTCCTCAAGGTATCCCCTGGAACTTTATATCATAGGAAACCAAAGAAATTTCCAGAGACTGCACATGCGTGTAAAGCTATAATGAATAAATAGACAAATGGAACTGCTTGAAACCAATACAGCTCTCTCTCTTCTATGATGAATTAATTGCCATAAGCTATAATTATTTTAATGCTTCGTGTGGTAAATCAATAAACAGAATGCATTTGTGGGGCTTTGACTTAGGTGCCATGGTAAACCAAAAGTAGCTTGAATGTAGGTGAAGGCTGTGCAAAGTCATGCAAGAAGAGAGAACAGCTGTGCATAAACGTAAGGCACTAAAACAAGGAAACCCAGGACAAGGAGACTTTCATGAGAGTAATAGGGGCAAATTAGGAAAAAAATTAAACCAAAAAAAATAAATTGTCAGAAGAATGTGATTGTAACCATGATGCATAGCCAGGATCACTAATTACCTAGAAAGCAGCAGCTTGACAAATGTAGCTTTGCCACCAAGAATACAACGATGTAGTGGTGTCTGGCCTCTCAAATCAGAAGCATTTATATTTGCACCATACTGTAGGAGGAGCTCCAGCATGCCAATATCTGCAGTTTCACAAGCTAGGTGAAGCAAGGAACACCCCTCAAGATCCTCCATTGCATGGCCTTCACTTGTGCCTGCTAAATTCGATGAGTTCAAGGTCTTTGCTGGTGATTCCCCAGTTAAAAAACTAGAGTTATGATCAATGCTTGTCTGGTCTTGCAACAGCATTACTTTGGCAAGGGTTAAAGATTTACAATACACTTGCTCATGGACAG